ATCTCCAAGAAAGCGGGTGGGAAAAAGGCAGGTGGGGTCAGCAAGCCGCCGCCTTCCAAGGGAGGCGCTTCAAAGGGGGGCGGAGGAGTGGCCAAGGCGGATTGGAGAGAAGGCTTCAAGAAGCCGCAAGTGGGAGTGAGCGACATGACGCTCCTGTCAAAAGTATCCAACGAAGCCGTCAATGATAATCTGCACAAGCGATTTCAAAATGCAGAGATTTATGTGAGCCGGTGGCGGGGGCATGGGGCATGGGGCATGGGGCATGTATGCGCTTTCTCTTCGCGCACCTCCTGCTGACACTGTTTGCGCCTCGCTCCACGCTCCTCGCTCCTCACGCCTGCTGGCATGATTCGCGCACCAGACGTACATTGGCAATGTGCTCATCTCTGTCAATCCTTTCAGAGACCTGGGCATCTATGGCCAAGACACGCTGTCATCCTATCGAGGCAAAAACAGGTTGGAAATGTCGCCGCACGTGTTTGCCATTGCAGAGTCTGCTTATTACAACATGCAAGCATACAAGGAGAATCAGTGCGTCATCATCACCGGAGAGAGCGGCGCTGGAAAGACGGAAGCTGCAAAGCGCATCATGCAGTACATTGCTGCCGTCAGCGCAGAGGGGGCGCGCGATATCCAAGACATCAAGGAGATGGTGCTGGCTACCAACCCGCTGCTCGAAAGCTTTGGATGCGCAAAGACGCTTAGAAACAACAACTCGAGTAGGCACGTGAGTGACCGCTCGCTCTTATTCATTGCACCAAAAAAGTCCTGCCATTCTGACGCGCGAGCGCGCATTTGCAGGGCAAATTCTTGGAGATCATGCACGACGAGCAAGGCGCACCGACTGGAGCTTCGATTCGAAACTTTTTGCTCGAAAAGGTGAGTCCTGATGTGGCGGCCGCGTCAATCGAGTGATCTGATTTTCGTCTTCTGCGACCTCCCCCCCAGAGCCGAGTGGTCGGGCAAATCCGAGACGAGCGCAACTTTCACATCTTTTACCAACTGACAAAGGGAGCCAACGACTCTCAGAGGGAATACTTTGGCATTCAAGGACCCGAAGCGTACGCATATACGAGCAAGTCGAAATGTCTGGACGTGCAGGGCATCAACGATGTGGCCGATTTCAACAGCACCCTAGACGCCATGAACACCATCGGACTGACGGGTGAGGAGCAAAATGACATTATCCGCATGCTCGCTTCCATCCTCTGGCTCGGCAATGCCGTCTTTGTGAGTCTCGTCTGCTCGCGCGCACACACACACAAACCCCCTACTGACCCGCCCGCGCGACCGCAAGAGGGAAAACGCGCAAGGCAATGCGGAAATAAGCGATCCGGGCGTGCCAGACTTTGTGGCCTACTTGCTGGAGGTGGACTCGGCTGCAGTGACGAAAGCGCTGACGGAAAAGATTGTCGAAACGCAAAGAGGCGTGGGCAGAAGAGGTTCCGTGTACGAGTCGCCTCTCAACCCCGCACAAGCTGGAGCTGTGCGAGATGCTTTGGCAAAGGCCATCTACAACAATCTCTTCGATTGGCTGGTGGCCAGGATCAATACCAGTATGGCCCCTCGTGGTGCAGTGTCCAACATGATTGGCATTCTGGACATGTGAGTGGGCGCACGCGACGTGCAAGCGTTCCGTGCGCAAGCACCGCTGATCGAGCTTGCGCGCCCACGCACGCAGCTACGGATTCGAGATCTTCGAGCAAAATTCGTTTGAACAGTTGTGCATGTGAGTGTGCAGGAGCGCTCATCCACACGATTCGCACGGCTCATCCCCTGCGCCTCGCCGTCTGCAGCAACTTTGTCAACGAAAAGCTGCAGCAAATCTTCATCGCCCTGGTGCTGCGCAAGGAGCAAGAGTGAGTGGTTGCAGACCGCACTCGCCTTGATCCCGCCCCGATTCCGCCCCGGTGCTCATCGCCCCCCATCCCACGACAGAGAATACGACGCCGAACAAATCCAATGGAAGCCCATTCCATACTTTGACAATGCGATCGTCTGCGAATTGATAGAAGGCGTACGACCAAAGCCAGGGATCTTTGCCACGCTCAACGACGCTGGTGCCACTGCGCATGCGGACCCCGCTGCAGCAGACAACGCCTTTATGCAGAGAGCAAGCGCGCTCACCTCGAATCCGCGCTTTGAAGCTAGGGGAGCTCGCTTCACCATCAGGCACTACGCTGGAGACGTGAGCTACACTATAGGCGGTCTGGCCGAGAAGAACAGAGATGCTCTTGCCAAGGACATTCTCGACTTGGTCGACACATCCAGCAACGGCTTTTTGAGAAGTCTCTTCTCTGAGCGCCCTGATCCAAACAGCAAAAAGAGACCGCCTACTGCTGGTGACCGCATCAAGGCCAGCGCCACCGACCTTGTTGACACTCTCATGAAAGCCGAGCCGCACTATATTCGGACGATCAAGCCAAACGAGACAAAGAGTCCAAAGGATTATGATACTGCTCGCGTGCTCGAACAAGCCGTCTACCTCGCTCTTGCTGGTAAGTCTCTGCCGCCCAGTCTCTTGCAGGCACTCTCTTCCTCATATTCGCATCTCCTCTTCCCTCCCAGAAAACATTCGCGTCCGTCGCGCAGGGTTTGCATACAGATCCACTTTCGAGAGACTGGTCGAGCGCTTCTACCTGCTGTCGCCTGCCACTTCCTATGCCGGCGAGTACACTTGGCAAGGAGACGCGCGGAGTGGTTGCGAGCGCATCCTGACAGACACTGGCATAGCCAACGAAGAATGGCAAATGGGCGTCACAAAGGCTTTCATCAAGAGCCCCGAGACGCTATTCGCTCTCGAAAAGATGAGAACAGAGTACTGGAACAACAAGGCTCGCATGATTCAGAGGGCCTTTCGTAACTACATGAGGTACAAGAACGAGTGTGCGCGGAGGATTCAGCGCGTGTGGCGCACCCAAGCATCGAGACTTGCCCTGGTGCAGCTACGAGATTACGGTCACCAGATGCTCGCAAGCCGAAAGGAGCGCAGACGTTTCAGCCTCATCAGCATGCGTCGATTCACTGGTGATTATCTGGACATCGGCGGCAGCAGCGCCGAGGGTGAGATGCTCAAGAGGGCGTCGGGCATGGCGAGCACCGAAGATGTAGCTTTCTCTGCGCGCGTCCATATTCTCGTCTCCCGCCTTGGTCGATCCAGCAAACCCTCGCCGCGCTTCTTTGTCCTGACGGACAAGGCGGCATACTTTCTCGTCACTCAGCTTGTTAACAAACAACCGCAAACGACTTGCGAAAGGCGCATCGTACTTGGCAGCATCCAATCCGTTGGGCTTTCCGCTCTTCGCGATGACTGGATCGTATTCAACGTATCCGGCACACCGGAGCCCGATCCCGTATTTCATACGCACTTCAAGACCGAGCTCACCACGCACCTTTTGCAGCGCACTTCGGGTGCCGTCAATGTGATCGTATCGAACGCGCTGGAGCACTCGACGGGCAAAGACAAAAAAAAGATTGTCAAGTTTCAAAAGGATGAGGCGGTGCAGCGAGAGGACGTGTACAAGAGCTCTACTGTGACGGTCGCTTCAGGAGAGGCACCCAGCAGTCTGAGCAAGCCACCTGCCAAAAAGAAACCCGGCTTGGTCAGACCGATCACGTCTGGCAAGCTGCTTCGAGCCGGCGGGCCGTCGAATGCCAACCGCGTGGCCAAACCTCGCGCTGTGCCGAGGCCGACACCTACGCCAGCGACGCTTCCCAGTGGCAGAAAAGCGGCGGCGCCAGCTGCACCTGCTGGCATCCCCACAACGAACGGCTCCTCGAACAGAGCCGCGGCCCCCAAACGCGCATCGGTTGCTGCTCCACCACCCCCGCCAGCGGTACCAAAGTATCTCGTCCTGTACGCCTTTGATACGGATCAGGATGGAGAAATGTCGCTGGCAAAGGATGAAGAGGTGGAAGTGACGCAAAAGGAGGAGAATGGTTGGTGGCTGGTCAAGAAGAATGGCATCGAGGGTTGGGCTCCTTCAAACTACCTCGAGCTGATCAAGCAAGCTCCCAAGCCGAAAGTTGCACCGCCTCCGGCGCCGCCGTCTACGAAACGAGCGCCCCCGCCAGCTCCCGCGGCTTCTGGTGGTGATGGTGCGAGTACGACTTTGGGCGGTTTTGGTGCACCCAAGCCGGTCACGACTGCTGCCAAACCCGCTTTCGCAAACGGTGCAGCAGCAGCAGCAGCAGCAGCACCCGCGCCCAAGCCCAAGCCCAAGCCCACGAGCAATGTGGGAAGCATGAAACGCTCAGAGATGCCAACGGCTATGACGGCAGATGCGGGCGCAGCGCCAGTAGCAGTGATGCCCGGCATGGGCGCACCCGGAGGATTCGCAGCCGTCTTGGCCAAAAAGAAGGCCGAGGCCGCAGCAGCGCGTGGTGAGGCGCCTTCAGCTACTGCAGCCGGTGGTGGCGGCAGTAGCGGCGGCGGCGGCGGCGGCGGCGTTGGAAAAGGTCCACCACCTGCACCTGGCGCAAAGCCAGGCAAACCTCCTGCTCCTCCCAAGCCTTCCGCTGCAGGATCCGGTGGTGCGAGGTTGCCGCCGCCTCCGCCTCGCAGGCCGTAAATCGTTCAATGACTCCGACTCGCCGGATTCGCTGCAGCCCTGTAGAAACTTCCTCTTCCTCCCCCCATTCGCTTGCCGTCTTCTAACGATGTACCTGTGCTTACATGAGCGGGCGCGTATATCGCGTCACAATTGATCAGATACACACAAAAAAGGATCACACATTTGCGCGGATGCGGAGCAATTACAATGCGCGTGAGCGATTACAGACTCAGTGCAGAGGTCGTTGCGGTCGATCCCCCGCTTGCCGCTCCGACGGTAATCTTTTCGTTTTTTGCCTGCGTATCAGGCAGAACGTGAACGCCGGTGGCCACATCGCAATCCTTTAGGTTGCACCTGTCTCCAATCGTGGCACCCGGGCAAAGAATGACCGAGTCCAGCTTGACGCTGGCACGCGCGCGGCGCAGTTTCCGTGTCAGCAGATGACAAACCAGCGCGAGCGCAGCCCCGTACGCCAGCACAATCAATGCGAAACTCACTTGTCCCCAACTTTGACTCCCTGCATCAACACGCAGCCCGTCAGCTTTGCGCCCTTGCCCACCACGCATCCCGGTCCAACGATGCACTTTTTGAGCGCGCAGCGGTCGCCGAGCGTCAGCAACGATTGGTGCTTGCTGGAAGAAGAAGAAGAAGAAGAAGCACCCGCAAATGTCTCCACACCCGCCGCATCCGAAGCGAAACGCGGAGCAAATGGAAGGATAGTGTCTGATGAGACTTGCGCCGAGGGGTTGATTTGCTGCGCTTCGATGAAATTTGGCTCAAAAGTCGAAATGGGCAGCGCGAAACCTTGCGGCAAGCTGTTGGGAGACGATAGAGCTTTGAGGAGCTGCGGAAGAAAGGTGGGGGAGGCGCGACGAGGCATCGTTGGAGCGCTTGCTCAAAAAAAGGTGGCGGGACGGCAGACCACTCACCCAACGGTTGCATTCCAAAAATGTTGGCACCGTGTTTGCTCTGGCAAAGAATCTGCGCTCCTTTGCTGCAGGTGAATGTGCTTGCGCGCCATAGTCAGACGGCACGTCGAGCCGTTGGATGAGGGCGACGCAGGTGATTGAGGATGCAGCTCTCGATGCAGATCCGTCGCGCTTCGAGCCTCCCACCGTCGATCTACCGCAAAGCACCGACGCAGCATTGGGATGTATCAAGACGCTGCTCTGCTGCAATGCAGTCGACAAGGCATGCAGAGGCTTGGCAGCATCCCCATCGCCAAATTCGTCGTCTGCGTCTTCTTTGGCGTCTTGCCTCGCATCTGGTCCAGACCTCACAGCCTTGTCCCACAGCCCCCTTTGATAGCCAGCTTTGATCAGCAGAGGCACGACGTGCTCTCTCAGACTGGTCAGCGCCCTTCTAGCCTTGAGCAGCCTCTCCGTTTTTCTCTTGTCCAAGATGTAAATGTGACTGTCCAGCAAGTTGGTGCTCACTCTGAGCTTATTTGTTCGCTGCGCGACCGCGTACCGTAGTGCTAGGCCATCTTCATTATCGGACAAGTGCGAGAGGTGGAGCAAGCGATGAGAAGAGCGCAAAGAGCCCCACACTGCGTCCGTCGAAGAGCTGAGTGACGAGGCTGGGGATGATAGACAGTGACCCATCTCTTGCTTGAAAGAGTCTGCAGAGTAAGCGCAAAGGAGCTTTGCTGGGCCTGTTGAAAGGATGCGCGGGAGCAGACGCGCATGATCAGACGGCCGTGCGCTCGCGAGCGCTCTCACCACGGCGCACTTACCCTCCTTTTCTCTCTCCTTGCCCGTGCCATCGCCAGCTCCTGCCTCGTACAGCATGCATGTCAGGGCTGGTTTTGGAATTTGATCCGCATCCTCATCCTGTGCGATCGATCCGATGCCTGCTTCGATGTGAGCGGCAATGAGGCGAGTGAGGGGTGAATACGGGTTGAGCAGGTCGATGGGAAGCACAAGGGGATCAGACTGACGAGAGAGGCGTGTGCATCAGCTGATGGGCCCAGGGCGCATACAAGCACGCGCACCAAATTTCCAACACTCACCTCCACCTTGCCCAACTCAAAAGCCCACCTGAGCAGCTCTGCAGTTCCGAGCTTTGGAATTCTCCTATAGTCTTTCCCCTTTGCCTCCTCCTCCTTGTCGTCGTCGTCATCACCATCATCATCATTCGCCGCGTCTGTCTGCATCGTTGCTGCTGATGCATCACCAGCCAGCTCCTTTTCATAGGGCCCAAGGGGCAAGAGATGGACTTTAAAGGTATCGCTAGCGCGTGACGGGGGCAGACCTGGCAGGGAGGAAGCAGCGGCATGGTCCAGCTGACTTGGAGATGGGTCGGGACGGACTTTCAAGCCGTCGACGATGTGGATGGCGATGGAGTTGGACTGCGCTTGCTTCGCTGCAGTGCGAGTATTGTTGGGCTGCAGAGATGCTTGCTTGGATCGATGAGAGGGGGGCAGGAGGAGCCTGTATGCTTGCAGCGTCTTTGAGATGTCGGCGTGCTCGGCGCACGGAGCAAAGAGGAGGGCGTAGCGACAGTCGGGCAAGGAGGTGAGGATGCTTTGCAGAGCGTACGCTGCTACCGGTCTATTGGCTAGCGGCAGCAGCGCCTTGCTGAGCGGTCGCAAGCTCGTGCCTGAGCCTCCCCCTCTGGCCGATGTCGATGCTTCTCCTTGCGCCTGGTCATACGTCGAATCGCATAGCGGGTACAGTCCCTCTCCCGTTCCGCTGAACAGCACCGGTGTCAACAAGCTTGGCCAGGACATTGCACGACGATTGCGAGGGTAGGCTTAGCGTAGCGTAGTCTGCTTTGCCGTCGCTTTGCTGGTGAGGTGCAGTGACAGTTGCTTGAGCGATGCGTGATTCGTATGCGCACGTCGTTCGGTCGGATCTTTTGCGCTTCCCTTGTAAATTGGTGCAAGAATCAAGAATGTGAATGCTGTACCGTATGGCCAACACGTCACGTGATCTCGAACATCACAGTCTTCTTGATTCTGAGTCACGTGATTCCCGCCTTGATCGCTGCTGCTGCTGCTCGCCCGCGCCTGCGCCTGCTGCCCGCGCTTCATCCAGCAGAAAGGAGAAGCAGCGCGGGAGGGCATGATGCATCTATCTGCCTCTCCATCACCAACAACCCATCCCATCACTCCAACGACTCCTCACCGCCGCATCGCCGCCTCTATTCTTTCGCAACTTAGTCTCACCACCAATCAGCAGCCAATCAAGCATTACATCATGTCCGCTTCTCGCACCTTTTTTGTGGGAGGAAATTACAAGATGAACGGCACGCTGGACAGCACCAAGAAGCTCATCGACATTCTCAAGAGCGCTCAACTCGATCCCAAGGCTGGTGAGTGGGAGCGGTGGTGAGGGTGGCAGTGGCAGTGGTTGCAAAGTGAGCGTGTATGCTTGCTTGCGTCGAGGCGGAAGGCGGGGCCAGCTAGCTGCATTCGAGGCAGCAACAGCAAGGGCTGACGAAACAGGAACCTCCGCGCCTACAACGAACGCACAGAGGTCGTTGTTGCGCCTCCCGCGCTTCACCTCCTGCTGACCAAGGAGCTGCTGAGCGGATCGAAGATTGGCGTGTCTGCTCAAAACGCCTACCACAAGGCATCCGGAGCGTTTACTGGTGAAATCTCTGTCACGCAGCTCAAGGATGCTGGCATCCCTTGGGTCATCTTGGGTCACTCTGAGCGCAGAACACTGTTTGGGGAGAAGGACGAGGATGTGGCTGAAAAGACCAAAGCTGGTTTGCAACACGGTCTCAGCGTCATCCTCTGCGTAGGCGAGACTTTGGCTGAGAGGGAAAAGAATGAGAGCATAAACGTCGTTGTGCGTCAGCTCGATGCTGTTGCCAAGCAGATTAGCGATTGGAGGTGAGCAGTGTAGTGTAGTCCAGTGCAGTGCAGTGCAGTGCAGTGCGGCCCTTGGGGATGCGCTTCAAAGTGCGCATTGCCCCCAACGCTCATGATGCTTTCTTTTGCAACCTGCAGCAAGATCGTCGTGGCCTACGAGCCCGTTTGGGCCATCGGAACGGGCAAGGTAGCGACGGCAGAGCAGGTGAGCAGTTTGCCGCGTCCGCAGACGAAGCGAAGCGAAGCGCTCGCATCGAAAGCTTAGCCACCACACACACACCCTCGCCCTCGCCCTCTTTCCATGCAGGCCCAAGAGGTTCACGCTGCCATTCGCAAGTGGGCAAACGACAAGCTGGGCTCTCAAGCTGGAGAGGCTCTGCGCATCATCTACGGCGGATCCGTAGCCGCCAAGAACTGCAAGGAGCTGGGTGAGTGCAATGCGAATCGAGGTGCTGGCAGCAGCAGCAGTTTGTGTTGCGGGCATGTTGCGGGCATGTATGCGGCAGACGCGGACGCAGACGCTCACCTTGTGCATTCGCTATCGCTCTCGCTTTCTCCCTTTCCCCGATCCCATCTCTTTCAGCTTCTCAGCCCGACATTTCCGGTTTCCTCGTCGGAGGCGCTTCCCTCAAGCCCGAATTTGTGGACATTGTCAACGCTCGTCTTGTAAGTCGAGCCGATTGCGCGTGCGGGAGGGGAGAGGGGGGCATCGGCCGTGAGCTGGGTTGTCGTGCTGACGAACATTGCGCTCCTCCATCCTAGTGAGCTCTGAAGCCTGCGCAGGCTGGCGGCGAAATACCGCCGCTGCACCGAACGTTGCTTCCAATTATGCAAACCAAACGACGCTCACTCGAGCCAGCTGTGTAGTGAACATGGCTTGTCAATGACAATCCTAAAGCACTGGAAAAAAAAAATGTTGCTTGCTGCATTGCATGCATACGTCGGTCGTGACTTTGATCAGCAAGTCTGCGTCAGCTAGCCGCCCACGTCCACGCCCAACGCTCCTGGGCTTCATCGCTCGAGAGAAAAAGTGACAATTGCCCCCCGCCGCCGCACGCATCACGGGCTGCGACGGCTACAAGTCAAGATGTGCGAGCTGTATGCCTCTGGCGTGCCTGACTGATAGAAGGGTAGGCGTGTGCGCGAAGCGAAGCGAAGCACACGCATGAGCGAAGCCGTGATGAATCAGCGATCACAATCGAATGAGAATCCGTGAATGTGAATTGCGAGATGCGAAAAAAGGTACGTTGTGGATGTGTGGTAATCGGGGGATGCGAGATTGTCTGAATTGAGATGTAAATAGGAGCGCGTGATACGCGAAGCATAGGTGACGAGGGAGACATGTACAGTCGACGGCAAGTCATGGAGTGCAAATTTTGAATGTGGCGAGGCGATGTCAATGCTGCGCGTAGAAAGAGGGGAGGATATGCGTCCGAGCACAATGTAATTGGAAAAAAAAAAGACTTTTTTTCTTCGCAAAGGGCTGCGTGCGGGCTTGCGTCAGAGGAGGGATTTAGTGCAAACGAAGAAGTTGCGGTTCGTTTTGCGTTTCACCTCGCTGGTTATTCTGAATGTCTGGCGCGTAGGGTGGGAAAGTGCTGGTCTTGTCGGTCTCTAGGTAATTTGGAGTCAACAAGCTGCTGGAGATGCCTAGCGAGGCAGCGTTGAAGGCTTGAGTCAGCGTAGAGTCGTTGGTGAGCGCAGAGTGACCAGCATCGCTCGAATGGCGATCAGACTCTTCTTCCTTCGTGCCATATCCGTACAGTCTGGGGCCAGTGTTGAAGACCGGCGTCGGTGGCTCGGTGGAGGGTCTGGAAGACATGTCGGTCGTAAGGGATGGATGACTATCGCTGCTGCCCCCCGTGTAGGCTGGGTCGGGCAGACTACCGCGGTGACGGTTGATGGGCGTGTGCAAGTCCGCTTCCACTTGACTCGCTTCCTGGCCGTGTTGTTGAAAGACGTTGCCAAATTGAGCACCGTGTCCGACTGGCTGCGCATGAGCAGCATCTTCTTGCACGTAATTGTATTGTGGATTGCCAAGCTGGGCAGCTCGATGATAGGGCTGCACTTGGCTTCCAAACGAGCCGGATGGCGCTTGTAGGAAAGCGGTGAGCTGATCATGATGTGGATAGCGGGCGCCATTGTCGTCATAAGAGTGAAACAGACCCTGCTGCTGACCTCCTGGAGTGGCTGCGCGGTACCCGTTTGGCGTGGTGTGGGCGTCGGTCGTCAGACCGTAGATTCGACCGTCGGAAAGAAGATGTATGCCATTGCTAGCCATGTGCTCTCTCGAGCGCATCACCGACGGGTTGGCCGCCATCACATCGGCGCTCGATACCGACGAGTCTCGCCGGTCATCTGCTGTCGGATGCAAAGCTATTCCCAGAGCCAGGTCTCCGCGCGAGTCACTGACGCCGCTGTTCATTCCGACGCTTGCTGCGCTCTGCATGGCCCAGTTCTTCGTGACGGTGGCTGGATTGAATTGCCTGTGCGTGTTGATGTGCTGCTCGAGCGAAGTGGCTCCGTAGGGTATCTGGCCGTAAGCACCAGACCAGTTGGAGGGCGAGAGTACCACTGCAGGATTGGTCGGCTTGACGGCACTCTGAGTACCTACGACGTGGCGATCCCGGAGAAATTGCCTTTGTTGAAGGGGTTCGGTGGGATGATTACGTCGAGTGTGCTTGGTGAGCGTCGTCTTGCGGCAGTATGTCTTGCCGCATCCCTGTGGAACGCGACTGTATGTCAGCAGTCGAGCCTTTCTTCGTGTAGCAGACACTCACCTCGACGAGACACTTGTACGGTCGACGACCGGTGTGAATGCGGCGGTGACGGGCCAGGGAGCTTGAATCGGCACTAGCGGTGGGGCAGCCGACGGTCGATACTCAGCGTTGCCTCTCGAGATGGAAGCTCGCAACTCGACTCACAAAGCCTTGTCACAATCTTTGCACTGGTGTGGACGCTCTCCCGTGTGCACGCGCATATGGACCGTCAGAGCGCTGCGTTGGATGAACGTCTTGCCGCATTTTTTCCAAGAGCAGCGGTATGGTCGATAATTTTGGTGAATACGTGTGTGCCTGGTAGACAAAACAGTGCACGTAACACGTCAGACGGTACACGCACGATCGGCCCGCACGGTGCTAAACACGCTCACCTCGCCAGGTCAGAGCGGCTGTCGTCGAGTAGAAGCAGCTGCCGTGAGCGTGGCGTATCGTCATCGCTTTCAATTCGAACGCACCGAGAAAAAGCCTTGGAGCATCCTTTGAAACCGCATTCGAAGGGACGCGCCTCGGTTCGATGATCGTCATGCACGAGCTCTGCGAAAGTGCCGAGAATATGGATGACGAATGCACGCGCAAGTTTAGCATGGCGGCTGCACGCACGTCGGCACATCCGATGCTCACCTAGAATGTCCATCGTGGGCATGTGTGGGTTTGGAAGCGTTGGTCAGATGAGGAATCGACGTCAAAGCCTTTGGTAGGCTGCGGGTGGAGGGGTGGATGCATCGAGCGACATGAGGACAAGAAGATGCTCTACTTAAGACTCGAACAAGAAGATGCTCAGGACCCAAACGTGGCCCTCATCGCGTGCTGATCGATCGTGAGAGTGCACAGCTGCCAAGTAGACTTGCGCGCTATTTCTCTTCTGAATTCGGAACGTCGCCAGTGATTGTCGCTTGGTCTAGACTGCAGCTCAGCAAGGCTACCCTCGAGGTGGCCGTCTGGCTGTTTCAAGTTCGTGAGCGGCCAGAGAAGGTCTGAGTAGGCGTGGCGCCAGAGTCACGCTGCCTGGGACCAGACGAAAATACCATTACATTGCAATTGAGCACGCTCGCTGACTGCCTTCGGCTCGTACCACTTCACACCATAAATCGTAATCTGCGAAATGAGCTGCTCGCATGCGCCTCGAGTCTTGGTATGCTCGCAAAGCGGGATGAATAAAATGGCGAAGCTCGATGGGGAATTGGGCAGTAGGCGTGGAGCCTGCGACGCTAGTGGTGCCGCTCAACCCCGCCTGCCTGCGGCGGGATGAGACTGCTGCCCCTATAGCTTGCTCAGGCCTCCCCTTTCCAGTTCGAATCGCATCGGACCAAGCGATTGGGCGCCTACCACTCGGTTGGTAAAGTGCCGATGCACATGCGCATGATGTTGGCCGCCTTCACGCTGCATGTCAGACTGTTGATACAAAATGCCGACAGGTGGAGAGGAGCAAGTGTTGGCGTGGGTAACGGGCAGACAGGTGAAGACGAGCATGCGTTGCCGTGGGTGCGCAAGGCACTGACGTGAAGCCAACAAAGGAGTTTGCGTTTCCTCCCAGCAAGCCTGCAAGGCTATGTGACTCTCGCATCCATAATGGCATATCGGGTACAAGCTGCGCCGATCGCTTTGAGCGCGAGCCCCCATCAATCCGTAATCGTCGCTACGATAACAGTCAACGACCGCCACGTCCCAGACACATCTGCACGACTGCACTGAAAAGCTCGACAAACACGAGTGGCGTGTGCAGGGTCCCACGAGAACTGCAGAATCGGGAGTCTGGGCGGCATCGCGAGTGATATTCGTTGGGTGACTGCGGTGCTAAGCAATCTCGGTGCTAATCGAAAGTGATTGGCGTGCTTGCTCGCAAGTGATCGCGCCCGGACATGCCTCGCGCTGGCTTGCATTGATGAGCAGCATCAGCTTTGATCGCTTCTGCCTAGCGACCCGACTTGGTCGCTTTTCATTTCCTTGTGCTTAGCGTCTTAGACCTCCGAGTGGGAGTCGGACTTGATCACGTTTTGCGTGGTCCTCAGAAATGAAGCTTGAAGAACGAGGATGTCGACGCGCATCGGCAATTTGTACTGCCGCATGCCACCGCTCGGACCAGTGTGCTCGCCATGTACTTTTCTCCGCGCATCGCAACGCCGGTCAGGGCACATGGTCCGCCACTCGCTCACTTGCGGATAGCGATGGGTGATCCGCGGAGTCCGTCATCGTGGAGAACGTGGAGATCGGATGTAAAAACTGCATCGTCATGGGAAACATGTCAACTTGATACATTCTACGTCTGAGAAAGGCCCCACGGTTCTGCGTCTTGTCTCATCGCTGCTGGTGCTGCATGTCTGCGTTTGCTACCGCTGAATCAATGACATTGGAGTTGCCGCTAGCGTAAGCAATCAGCAGGTCGTCGTACTTCAAGCTCGATGTGGCTGGAATAACAATCGCAGACCGTCAAGTCAAGTCGGACAGGGCCAGGCTTGCTGACGACCATTGATCGTCTCACGATGGTCTCAGAGTCAATAGCGCGACGTGCCCGCCCCCGCCATCGTACATTGCTGCAGGATCTCAGACTGCTTGTAAGGTGCAGATGGGGATCCGTACGGTAGCCGCTGCAAGTGTAGTGGTAATGGAGCGCCGCTTGAAAAATGGCGCAATCGTTCCACAAGTCTTGCGGAGGTCTCGATCTGCCAAGCTTTCTCTCCACAAAGCCGTTTGTTTAGGTATATTTGCTCGGCAAGACGGTCAAACGAGGCCCACGGGAAGCTAGCAGATGCATGTGTTTGCACGTAACGAAGCTAGCGCGGCTGATGAGCAAATAGCTTCCAAAGACACGGGGAAAGTAACATGAACGAGAGAAGCTCCAATGCGCTAATGGACCTACCAGCAAACACCAGACTAGCGCCGATACGACTTCGTGACTCAGTGTTGCGCAGCTGAAGCATCCCCTTCTCCGCAAGCCGTCTACCCAAGTTTCCCAGAGGTCAAGATCCTCTGCCTCGAGCCTAGCGTACGCCATGCCTTTTCAGAGTCATGCCCGGATACCTTGCCCCCGTATTGTGGGACGTGCACTTGCAATTTGCCGGGCTTCAAGCGGAGCCGTTGGACTGCCGGCATTTGGTAGCCCTTTCGTTAATGCTACCTCCTCGCTCGTCGAAACTGCTTCAGGACAGGTGGTATTACCCCGTAACAGCGGTTCCAGTGACGAGGCAGATTTCGCGAGATAAGCCGCCCAGGACTGAGACATGCAACGGTCAGCAAGAGTCCAGCCTCGTTGGTGAAGATCTCTCGTAACATCGACCATTGCCAAAGAGTCCAGAGATAGCGCTACAGGCGAAGACAATGGAACATGAGCCCCTGGCAATCGTGCATGCCTGCTTGCTGCACGGAAGCGATTCGCATGACTCGCGTATCAATCAAGCTGTGTCCACGCTAAGTGTGCAGTGGACATTTGTACCTGCATGCATGCTTTCCACACCGGGGAGGCAAATACCTTGTAGGTACCATGCGTACCACCGTCTGTTGCTGTACCGGTACCGTACAGTAGAAGCTGACTCCGCTTCCATGCAGCCACCGAGGCGCCGTGCAGGTGGACTTTGCGTCGGCGTCGACTAGCTCTCACGGACTCGCGCGGCGAGAGCCGAGCGTTCATTTCATTTCGCTTCGGCGATTTGGATGCCAAGTACAAAGCGCTCTTCACAGCACTGCAAGTCTCAGACCTGCGTAGAAGCTGCCAGCCTATTATTGCCATACGAGCTCGTCACCCGTCATGAGCGGCGAGCGGATGGGCCTGAGTGGATGGTTTTGGAGTTTGCAATCGCGGGGACGGGGAGGGCAAACTTTTCCGCTACTTTACCTGGCTCCCTTTCCGTAGGTCTTACCGCCGTCGGGGCCGCGAACCAAGGGAAAGGACCGCTGCAGTTCCGCGTCGATCGCACATGCATGGGCATCCACAATGCGGCAAGTCGAGCGTTACCACGGGCCGCAAATGTCCGAGCACGTTCCAGCAAGTCTCGAAGTCCGCTGGACCTTGCTCACGCCACGCGAGTGACGTTGCCAGTATCTACGTCATGAATCCAGCCCGTAATCAGCGTCGTATCGACCAGCGGATCGTTCTTGAGCAGCGCAATGTCATCGTGGACAGATTGGTGGAGGTCCTCGAATCCAAAGTACGTCATGACATCCGCAAAGGGCTTGACACGACGGCCGATCTTCTCCACGAGCGTCTTGCGTATGTCTTGATCCCTAGCGTGCAAAAGACCACACTTGGTGTGGTGCATGAGGATGATTTCCTTGGCGCCCAACACATGTTGAGCAAGATGAATGCTGCGCAACAGGTCTGGCACTCGGCCACCTGCAGAGCGCAGCACCTTGACTTCGCCCGCCTTGAGTCCAAAAGCGGCCTCGGGCAAGATGCGAGTATCCATCTGGGGTCAAGAGAGTAGCGCAAGTCAATACCGGAGCGTTGAGCGCAAGAATTTTGACTTGCATTTCGCTCACACAGGCAATCAGCGTGGCCCTTGGACTCTTTGTATCAGCCGGTAGACGCCAGCTTTGAGACTGCCGATCAGGGCAAGAAGCAAGAGTGTAATCAGAGCGATGCAATGCAATGCAGATGGACTGATTCCTAGAGGGCTTGCTCTCCAATCTATGCACTCACTAATTTCGCATTATTGCGAGCAAACTTTTCGGCCACGGATCCTGGCGGAGCTTTGAGCATCTCGTGCAGCTTGCTATTCGTCTCCCCAGACTTGCAGCTAGTCGGCATGGATGTGTTTCGCACTGCTGGCTTGGCCTCGCTTGTGCTGGCCTCAACGTCGAACCAGCCAGATGGAGGACCCATACCAGGAGCTTGCGCTGCGGTGTTGGGCAAAGCTTTGCTTGATGCTACTACTATGGCTAGGCAGATGATCACGATCACGCGTGCTGATGGAAAAAGCATACTGTGGCACGTGGCAGGGTGCGAAGGGACTTCTGTCGGGGAGGCTCTCTTGCTGCAATTCTCTGTCTCTGGATTGGATGAAGGGGCGCAAAACGAGAAATGCGAGCTTTGGAAGGGCTCGTCATTCCTCACAAGCTAGGGGCGTCTTTTGTAACGCTCCGACACAGCTCGTGTGAGGCGAATGAAGGTCAGAATGTGACGAGAGCAGCACGGGAGGGGTGTCCGCGATCGAGTCGCAATGAGACCTTGCCCCTACCGAACAGTTGATATCTCGACCAGCATCCGAGGGTTGATGTCAACTTGGTGATTATCCCGTTGCTGTGGTCGTTGGCACTCTCCCAGCGGTCACTGAACGCTCTGCCATTCGAAAGCGAAGATGTATGCGATCGTACGACTTCATGTCGCCTACAGACGCGTTCCGCGTCAGGAACGGATGGACCTGGTGCCGTAAATGCCTGCAATGCCCAACACGATTCGTGTCGTTTTCCCATACGACGCTGCCCCGCGCCCCCATTTCATTTTGACAACAACTGAGAGCAGGGTGTGATGCGGGCCGCCTGCTCTTCTTCCGAGCCGATGCCACTGTGCAGTGTATCGTCGGAGCAGTCGCAGCATGCAACCGTCGACAAGCTTGAGAGTTGGGTCGCCCAGGTAATCGGGCGGCCCATACACCGATGGCATTCCTCTTGCACCGCCGTGCAACTTCCGACACCAAGCTCGCGAGCGTGCTGAATGAGGACCCCAAATTGAAGCACGGAGAACTCTGCGTGAGCACTGTGCAAGCTCGGCAGAAGGGACTGCCTTGACGGTGTGGTTACTTTGCCGCCAAATGACATCGAGGTGGCACCTGGTGGACGAGAAGGTCCCTGTTCCTGCGGTGGCGCGTGGCTACCGGCACCCGACTTGGTCCGAATCGTGGCAAAGGCACACCAAGCAGCGCCTACAACGCATCCTCTTCCCTTTCCCTTCGAACGAGGCGCTTCTTTTAGCTCTCCGTTTCTCCCAGGTCTGTGCCGAAAGCACACTTGCATCACCCAGCAAGTGCTGGAGGTCGGCGATTTGGGGACTCGACTGCGCGCACTGCGTCAATGGCGCAAAATCACATTCTTAGTGCAATCACACAGTACCCCCCATGCCGACATCGCAGTTGTTCATTCCACGCAAGTGCCATTGTATGGCCCAGTCGAGGGGAGGCTCGCAACAATGCAAAACGTGACGTCATGCGCCTGGTAATGAAAAACCATGACGAAGCAGAAGGTTGGAGAGTGTGGTACTTTGGAAGGGTGCATAGACGCCTGGCAAGTCTTCGTGCGGGGTGATTGGAACAGTCGGGAAATGCGACTCGCACGGTCTTCTTCGTCGCCTTGATCGAGAGGCACAAACATCTTGGCGTATGATCTGGTGCACACTCACACTGCATCGGCGAGATCGAGATGGGCCGTACGCATCCCTTGTGCCGTCAGTCTTTGCCTTCATCCCGAGTGTCGCTTTGATCAATTTTCGCCACGGTAAACTTGCGTGGCTGCAAAGGAGCGGCCATCTAATGGTCTCGTGACAATGTAGAGCTCCTTCGTCTTCTCATGGCGGTGGGGCTTCTGCTTCTACTACCGCTCCCTCTTCGGTAGGGACTTGCGCTTCTTCTTCCCCCTCTCTCCTGCTCCCTAGGACGCAAAGGCGGGGGAGGTCTAGTTTCCCTCTCTTTGTCGCGCACATCTCCATCGCGTCCCCAGCCGTGCTGAGGCGGACCTTGACCCCATCGTCCAGCGACTTGCTGGCGTCGTGGTCCCATAGGCGCTTCTCCTGCTGGAAAGCCGCGATTCAAATGCGGTGGCGGACCCGGAGTGGGTCGTCCGCCATATCCGCCTGGAGCATCGTGGGGAGCACCTCGATCACCTCTGTATGAAGCACCATACCCACCGTAGGCTTCCGGTCTGGGCCCTGATGCGCCCCTGGGTGGCCCACTCCTATAATCACGCTGCTGTGCCCACCTATCATGTCCATCTCTTGCGTCCCTCGCACCTCTCGCATCCCTTCCGTACTCAGCACGCGAGACGCGCCTGTCCACCTCTCTTTGTTCCATACGAGCATGACTCCTGCCTGGCCCTCGAGAGGAGTGAGAGTCGATGATGGATCGAGGTAAAGAGCTCAATTCTACGCTGATCACGCATCCGTCGATCTGACCCGCGTGCATGTACGACTTTGCCATGCTCGCTTCTTCCAGCGTTCGGTAGACGATGTAAGCTTCGCCTTTGTTCTCTCCCGCTGCGGTGTGTGTGTGAGAATGCACGCTGCGTCAGCAATCGGCAGCAGCATGTTGTCTCTGTGCCCGACGGCATACCCTCGGTCCCTCTGCCCTCGACGCGCGACGCGGTGTAGAGTAGAGCCACTCACACAGCTTGTACTGCGGCAATAGAACATGCTCGATGGATCCGTATTCTCCAAAGATGTATTCGAGATGACGAGCATGCACAGCTTTGCTGAGTCCACCCACAGCCACGCTCCTCGTCTCTTCCTGCCTCGCACCTCTCCCAGCCTGGTCTAGTCGCGGTGGACTGCGCTCAGCTGCACGTGCTCGTCGAGCTGGCGGTGAGCGCGATGTTGAAGTGGAGCGCGATCTTGAAGAAGATGTTCGACCTCGACTACGACTACGACTACGACTACGACTACGACTACGAGATGTTGACATGCGCCTCGGGGTGATTGCTCTGCCTCCGGTGCCAGATCTGTCCTCATCCATCCTTGCAGCGCTGCTGCTCTGGACACGACCGGTACTCCGATTTGGACTGATGCTTCGGGGTGAATAGCTTCCCCTTCCGCTTCCGCTCTTGCTCTTGCTACGACTCGTACTTCTTCCTCTCGAATCATCTCTGCGTGACTGCGAAGCGACGCTCATCTTGATGCCCCTTCCCTTGGGCTTGGTGACCTTCTGCAGGGTGATTGTGTGCCTGGCCCCCCCTGGGGCAGCGTGGTGCTTTGCACTGCGCTCTCGAGGAGGTGAGTCCTAAGTCTTGAGGCGTAAGAAGCTGGATGTGCCCGGTCAATTTGAGAGAGCCACTAGTGTGTATCAGCGCTGTCCGTGGTGGTCGAGGTAGGAAATTTGAATCCAAGTAAAACTGGGCAGCAAAGCGCGCGGACGGCGGGGGGGGG